ATATAATATTTATATTTATATATATAATATTTATATTTATATATATAATATTTATATTTATATTTATATTCTTTTTCTTTTTCTGTGTCGTGCGGGTACTTCTCCCGATCTGTAAGGCGACGGCGCCGAGGCTCCTTTCCGCGCATACATCCCTTCGCGCGGCGGCTAAGGGAGGCGCGTCTCGGCGTCCCCCGCCTGCCTTGCAACCTTGCCCTCGCCTGTAAACATGGGGATCGGAAACTTTGCGCCCCCTTGCCCTCCACCCCTTCCCTCATGCTCCCCAGCCGTACCCCTCGTCCCCCCCGCCAAACAGACGTTGCTGTATTCCTTTTGTTACCTGCCAGCTGGAGGGGGAGGGGGGTCTCGGGGTCTTCGGCTGTTCGGGGCACTGGGCCCAGCCGAGAGAAGAGGCTCAGCCAGCCGGATTCAGCCTTCGCGCCGTCCCGAGGAGGCTTTTTCGCTTCCATTCAGTAAAACACACACCCTCCTCCTCCTCCTCCTCCTGTTCTCCTCCTCCTCCTCCTCCTCTTCTTCCACCTTAGGTACCAAGACATATATCGCAAACATTACAGCCCCCCCCCCCCCCCCCCCCCCCCCCCCACCCCCCCCCCCCAAAAAAAAAAAAAAATCAGTTCAACCAAAAGACAACTTGCCAAGCAGAAGATGGTGGATTTACATTGAGGCAGACCCCGCAGGGTCAGGCAGGAAGTCTGACTGTTCCTGTATCTGACAGTTGCATTTCCTCTCCTTCATTCTCATCGCCTTTTTCATATTATTATTAACCCTGTTCCGTTTTAATCAAGGATCAGGTAGCTGGAAAAGAGAGAGAGAGAAAAAAAAAGCAGAAGGAAAAAAAATTAAAAAGGGAGGGAGAGGAGGGTTGATGATTTTGAAGGTTGGATAAATCTCTCTTATATGTATATTTGGAATTGTGATTCCCCTTTGGAAGGATTTCCAGTGGCTGGATCCTTAAAGAGCGGTGATTGAAGAGCAGATGATAGTTTATTCTGTCTTTGAGAGTTTGGTGGATGTCTAAGTGGATGGATGAAAGGAAGAGGTAGTGAGCAGCAGCCTTGGAAGCCCTGCCTGTTGTTGGTTAGGTTGAGGCAGACACTTGGCTGCGATTGGGAACACCACTGTGACATGGGCATCGATCGCTTCCATTGAGAGCAATGCAAAAACACAGCCTGGGTATGTAACACTCTCAGTGCCATCAACCCTTGTTTTACTTTCTATTTACTGACAACGCTGACAGGGAGATGGGACTTGGCTTTTGGAAAGCCAGAAAGGAAAGGGGGAGAATGAAAATACTACAAAATGAAACAGGGCTGAAGGGTTGGAAAAGGAAAAAAAAAAGTAACTGTTTAAATATAATCATTTGGTTTCATACTTTGGACTTTGAAAGAGTTTCCTTTTCTGCAGAGAGATTTTAGAGAAAGAATACAACTGGAGCTCTCTCTGCGTTTCTGTTTCTCTGTCTCTCTCTGTCTCTGTCTCTGTCTCTGTCTCTCTCTCTCTGTAAAATAGTTGTGGGGAGGACTGTCTGCTTGTGGGGAGGACCGTGAGACAGTTTCAAACAGTAGGAAGGCATACCAAGATGAAAGATGGCTAGCCAGCTGTTTTAACCTCTTGCACCTGGCTTGAGTGCAGAGGCTCCCTCAGATTATTCAGTGAGCCTAGCTGAATATTCATACTGCAGGATCTATACACTGGGACTGTAGCATCCCATTGGCATTGCTTTGGGCTTTGAAGGCTTTCTGGAAGGCAAACATGTATTCAGTTTTCCTTCTTGTGGGAATGAACATATAAGGTCAATTAAATAGAAGGCAATGGTCATAAATCTTTAAAAATGAAATCTATTCAAAGAACAAAGAAAGGTCAAATAAACCATCTGTATAAGTCACAGTAATAGTAGTGGTAGTACCTGCTTGGTAGGTTTAGGAATGATATTAGCTTGTTTTCTAAAATGCAAGTGGTAAAGAAAAGTATGCATCCCTCAAATCTTTTAAAATAGATACAAGGTTGTGCTTCTATAGCAAAATATTTTATTGTTCATCATCAGGGACTATGTAAAGAAGTGCTGAGAAAATCACTGTTTAATATTGCAGAATTTACTGCTTCCACTCTGACCATGAGCCTAAATTTACACAATGAAATTTGATTATCTCTAATAACAGTATTAGATCCTGCATTGGATGGATGAGAATTGAGGTGGTTTTGTTGATTGCAAGGGTTTAATGTTGCATTTCAGAATCTGATGTGGTTTAGCCTTCCTTCCATTAACTGGAAAACCCCTGAGGTTTTACAATTATTTCTTAAAGATAATACATTTAAGATTGCATTGGTAGGCTGGAGAAAAGTCATATAGGCAAGAAGGGAAGCCCTTAATAACTCTTGAGATTCAGACATGTTCAGCAGTTAGATTGGCTCTGACTTCAGCAAGGGTCGACAATGTGTCATTTCCATGAAGCCAAATTGCCCTCTGCCTATATGATATTAATGTGCAAATCAATATTTCAGGGATTAAATTTCCCTTCTTCATTTTTTATGGTTTCTACCTCAATAAGTCTCAAGTCTATTAGAAGAGGCTGGATGATTTAAAATCCTTCACTGCAGAATGGCTTGTTGTAGCCTTGTTTCACATACCATTTTGGGATTTTTGCTTTAAAAGACTAAAGGCATGGCAAAGAAGTTGATAGTCAATATAGGAACATGCGCAATACTGTAAAGCTTTTTTTTCCAATATAGAGATAATAAGGTATTGAATATATACATTTATATGATATATTCATTTATATGATATATACATTGTTCTGCTTTAAAAATATTGTGTTAATCCCTTATTGATTTATTCTGGAATCAATTGAGGCTCTTTGCTTGTTTGTGATTTGTTAGCATTCTGATGCTTTTTCCAATAGCATGCTTGGATTATTTTGCAGTGAGTATTCTTTAGATCTTTGAAGACTGGATAAAAATAAGATTTTAAGTGAATTAAGCTAAGTGATATAAAAAGTCTGCTATTGTGCCTGAGTGATATTAGTTGTATCGTATTAATTAACAAAGGGACCTTTTAGTAAGATATTAGCCTTTTAAAGTGGCTGTGCATTGGTGGCGTTGCATTAAAAGAAGTCTTTTGAATATTTATGATTAGATTGAAAAAGGATCAAAGAAGAAGCTATAGATGGCTGAAAATTTGGGTCACACACAAGGTTGCGACTTTATCACATTTTGGAAAGGCCCTTAGCTCTATCATTTTGGTGGTATTTTATAGCTTCAGACCATCTGGGCTCGGTTCCGCACAGCTGCATGGATTTTGTCTGCGATAGAGCATTTTTTTCCATTCGGTGTGAAATGTTCCTTCCTTAAAAAATGTATACCAGACTTACTTAATTTGGTCTTTTAAAAGAAATACATATGAAAAAGGGACAAAAGGCTCTTTAATCTCTGCAAGCTGTTTGCTTTTCTTCAAGCTTCCTGTCTGTTTGGTTTTGAAAAGTCATGTTTATTGAGGAGATGTTTCTGAGGTGTGACATTAAAATAATATATGGGTTTTTTTTTTAGAGTGAGAATGTCTGATTCCTGCTCTTCTGCCTGCCTGTCAAAACACGGTTAATCTACTCTTATTTACAATTAATCTCAATAAAATTAATCTTAACTGTGCAATAGTCAGTGGCTTAAAATATCTAATTATATTCAATTAACTGCTGTCATAGTAATTAACACTGCTTAATTGCTTCAGCATATATTTATGTAAAGCTCATTAGTTCCTGGTTGCTCTTTTTTCCTGTCCTCATTCTTTTTTTATTGCTGTCATAGCATTGACATCAGTCTAGATTTGTGGTGTGTGTGTGTGAGAGAGAGAGACAATTTCAAACTTGACAATTAATGAATCAACAATCCTTTTATTTATCTGAATGTTAAATATTTTAGTAAGCTTTGAAGCAAGATTGTAGTGACTGGGTAGCATTTTTAAAAATAAAATTTGATTTGTGGATGGAAATAGGAAAAGTCAGGTTAAGCCCTGTATTTAGAAAGGAAGAGCTTTTCCTGCATCTGCCTTGGGGCTGTGCCCACAAGGC